GCAATTGTTCCATATCATTAGCAGCATCTTTTGTCGGGAACACCTGCTCTTGCCCATTGAATCCAGTTGCTGAACCACCCGGTGGTGGATTGTACTGTTCATGATATTCTTGATTCGCCAATGGTGCAACTAAAATACCGAAAGAGAGATGAAATGATGAAAAAGATTGCTAGGATAGTTTCATACACGATCGCCCAGCTGCACGTCGAATGACAATATTGTTCGATACATGGAAGAGAACGACAAGATCAATCGCAGATTTATATGGTTCAGGTGGCGGTGGTGGACGTGGATTCGGCGCTAAGAGTGGATCGAATTCTTTTGGTTTTTCTTCTTGATAATTAGATAATGCATTTTCCAGTAGTTTTACTTGATCATATGTCGTCGGAAATCCATCAATGATCCATCCTTCACCTTCTGGAACTCGTCTGGAAAGAGTTTTACAAATAGAAAACTTTATGGAATTTCGAATTTCCATACCGAAGACGTTCGAGAATTAATTGTACAGCCATTTGATCACTAAGCGCTTCGCCGGATTTCATCGATCGATGTATCATTGCACCGAGTCTCGCGCGATCACTCAACTGCAAATATGAAATATGAATAGATTTCAATTCTTTGAAAACGATGGATTTTTTTCTACCTTGCTTGGTTTTTCCTGTGGATGGCTAAGGGCGTGTGTGTGTGTGGAATCGGTAAGATCATTCAATGTTGGAGGAGGTGCTGCTGGATGTTCATTCGTTGTTGTATCTGAATGAAAACATGCGCATTAGGTAATGAACAAGTAATGAGAGAAATGAAATGAGCAAAATTGACATTTGAGCAAGACCGAAAAACCTGAGAAAGAAATATTCGCTGTTTTCTTCTTGATTTTTCGAGATTTCTTCTTTTTCTTTGCAGTATTATTATTATTCATATTCAATTGATAAGAATTAACAGTGAAAATGCGTGAACACAATGAAAAATTCCTTTCATCCGAAGAATGTTTGAAGATATTGAAGATATCATCTTCAGTTGTAACAATTATGAAATAGATCAATTTCAAACATCAATCCTACCTGCGTGCTCCAAGAAAGCATTTCCTGTGGAAGCCAGTACATTCTCATGATCAATTTTCATTGAAGTATCCATTTCCGTATTATCTTCATCATCATCATCATTCATTTCATTGTTGTTAAATGCTTCTACTGCTTCATGAAATAGCTGTTCAACGTTGATAACTGTCACGCCAGTTTCTAAAACAGATCGATGCATTTCTCAATTGTCAAAAACTTCTTCTATTAGTCAATTACCTTCACCATAGCGTCTCAATGCAGTCGATTTGCCTGAAAATGACTTTCCCAAGACAAGAATCTTCAATCCAAATGCTGGAAATAATGGCAATGCAAGTTTCTCCTACGATATCCGTTTTATACTTTCGTAGTTTCGTCAACTCGACCAAATAACTTACCGGTGGTGGATGTACGAGTTGATACAATCGATTGATAATATAACCGAAAATTGGATTATCGAAAGGTGGTACATGTGTAATAATTATTGCACTTTGACTACTCGCTGGTGGTTCCCACTCACCAATCATGTTTCGATATTCGTTGAAGTCACCTTCGTCTAAAATTTTCAGGCTTTCTTCTTGTAAAACAGTTTGAGCATGCAGTTTCTCATTTTGTCGTTCGATTTCTGCGAGTTGTTCTTCAGTGAAGCGTTGTTCGTCGTCGAATAATGGTCGATCACCAATAAATAGAGCGTTCCATTCGCGCCAGACTTTCGGAGGGATCAAACTAAAGTTCAAAGAGAAACAATGAACGGGATTTCCAAAAGGAAAGCAACTTACTTTTCGGTTAATTCGCGATATTCGCCTACTTTCAATGCGAAGTCAACTAATTGCCAAGTGACATGTGTACAGAAACCGACATTGTCCTTGTGTATCGTTTGAGCTTTTTCCGCCTGTAGAATATCATGTAATTCTTTATCTTTCTGGATTTGTTCAGCATATTCAAGTCGGGCTAAACGTGCCAATTCCTACAGGAGACTTCTATGTTTGAAATCTTCGTGTCCACCAAAATTTCCTTACCGCTTCACGGTCCATAGCTTCAATAAAGTCTTGTCGTCGACGGATCTCTAATTGCTTCTCGTAAGCAATACGATTTTGACGAAGAACATCTTTTTCATGACGAGTTTGTAGTAATTCAACTGCCAGACGTCGCTCGAACTGAGACTGACGAAGTAGATGACTAACAAGTGATTCTTCACGTTTGGAATCCTATTCGAGATCTGATAAGAATCATTTCGATTGAATGAATTCTTACTTCAATAGCTTCAAGTGCACGAAGTTGATCAACTAGAACTTTTCGACGTCGCTTTTCTCGTTCACGTCGAGCGTGAACATCTTCTTGTAGACGTCGTCGAATTTCCAGAATATACGGATCGACTTGACCTGTTTGTAGTTGTTTCGAGTATGAAACTAATTCTTTTGAACCTGTCGTGCCAGCCTTGATTAGAGACTCTTTCGTATCTTGTTCATAAGGTGAAGATATCTCCATGTCAGAAACGTTCATTGAATCTCTAAATTTTTAAACAAAAAGACTTGCTTTGTTCAACTCTCTTCAATATTTCATACCCAGTGCTGTTTTCATCGAAACCTTCGTCATCATCGTATTCTGAATGTTGTAAAACACGTTTTTCGAATCGACGAATTTCGTTCATGGTATCCTAAATATCTCAACTCACATGAACTTCAAAAATCACTTTCAACCAAACCTCCATTTCGATTTCTTTCCTCAGTTTGCGTTTTTTCTCCAACGCCTGTTTAGTAAACAACGGCGGTGTCTTGGGAATCATCACCACACTTGCTCTAAAAATAGAACAACAATCGAATTTATTGCTCGGATAAATCTTTCAATGTATATATAGATCGATAGATAGTAGCATGCAAAGCAATATAATATAATCAAAATGAATAACGATTGAGAGAGACATGCATATAATGAGAGTTGACGAACGAACTTACGGCATTGGCTCGATTTCGAGCTCATATCCAAGATCGTGTTGTTGTGATCTAATGTGAAAGGGTTGTTTTTTTTTGTTTCATTTTATCAAATATATGTCAAGAGATATCGAGGAATGTGTTTGAAATGACCGAGAAAGAAAACGGATTGATATCTTACTTGATTCTAGCTGTGATTTCAGCATCTTTCATTCGTTTTTCTTTCGAACGATTGAGAAGGTACTGTCGTTTAGATTCGTATTCTTGTCGTTTTTCTTCTTCGGCAGCATTTCTATGATAGAAAACAATGGCATTATGACAAAATAAGTTCGAACGAATATCTTCATTTACTTTTGTTTGTTGATAATTTCACCTTGACGTTCTCTATATCGTTCGTATTTATTGACTACTTCTCCTAAACTAAGATCGCATTGACGAGCTGTTCGTTTTTTGATTGACTAAATAACAACAGTGATTCAATTAGCAAGAAGTTCAAGTTTAGAACAAACATCTTCATATTGCTGCGATTCGACTTGTCCGAGGAACTTCGTGGCTGGTGCTAGCATTGTTTCCATTGCTGTTCCAGTTAAATTTCGTTTCTTTTTTCGATTTAGAGCTGAGTAGAGTGAATAGAGAAGTTGCTGAATGGCTCCCTTCTCCATGGTCATTACTTTCCGAGCATCATTCGTATTAAAGGCAATTCCGAGAAGATGGAGTGTACGTTCTATTCGTGTGAAATTGTTCAATTGAGATTGTGGATTGCTAGATACGAGAATCGACTTCAAATCATCGCAGAGAAAAGGCCTTGTCTACGCACTTGCCAGTACTAAACTGAGGGAAATCCTCTTGAAGACCATATTTTGAAAGAATTTCACCGATAAGATAACCTGTAGCAAAATCACCAGCAAGAGTCTGACTGGAGTCTATCAAAAAACAAACATCGAGATTTAGTTTAATAATAAAAAACTTTTCATAGGAGAAAATTCTCTACCGATTTTTTGTGATAATTGAACATCATTATTGAGCCAGTCTATCAGAATATGAGACATAGTTCCTGTTTGTGTTTTCCAAAACACGAACCGTTGTTCGATTCAAATACTTGTGATCCAATAAACAGAAATAGTCGTTAAAACATTGCCATTTGCTTCTATTTGTTAATTCAAGTTACTTAGCAACACGAAAGGTTCCGATTATCGTATGAGGTCGTTCATAATCGACTTCTTCGTATTATTCGGAACAATTAAGAATGAACGAAACCGATTTTCTGTCTAATTATTACCTCTATATTGGTAACCTAGTTGCGTGGCGACATCTCTCGAAAGAAGAATGTTTCTGGGTCACAATTAAATTGTGTCTGTATACGTGATGTTTACTTAACTGAATAAAAGAACTGTTGAAATCGAATCAATTTTTACTCCGCGACACGTTCAGTCCAGGAAACATGAAGCAAAAACAAGTCAACATTGATTATACGTTAATGGTCTATTCATTCGTCATTAACTATTCTATTAATGTTTTCGAACATGTCAAAATATGCTCCCGCATCGCATATATTTATGCATTCAAATCAATTCCCGATCAAAGACTAATTTTTCTCAAACAAATCAGTTAATAATGCCAGATATGTTATTGTAAATGTTATATTCGGGTCTTAGTAAGAACATATGGCTTTTTTTTTCAAAACAAAAGAAATCAGATCTTTTCGACAGCATTTCAATAATAAATCAGAACTTGTTAGTTCTGTTCATTCGATAATTTCACATTCTTTTTTATACGTGATGTGATTTCAGTCAAAAAGTCTCACAACTCCAGAGTTCGACTCTGCATTTGTGTAACTATCATATTGAAATTCAAGTATTTTGATTCATCCTGTTTTCTGCTGCTGAGTTCCTGTGTGATTTGACATGGAGCGGAAATATGATTTTCTTCGTTTTCCTTCATAGTTCTCTCTCTCTCTTCGTTCATTTCTCTTATTTCACACGTCTTGATAACATACATATAAAAAAAAAAACAAGTCATGTTAGCCTATATTTACTTATTTTTTATGTTTACAACACTGACTTATCTCAATGCAATACCGGTATCATCAATAAATCTCGAATCTGATCACGATAATAGATTATTGGATGCAATTCTTCTTGAACGACTCGGTCTGGCTTCCACTTATCATTTGACTCATCCACAGCACGAGAATGATTATCTAGTCGATAATGAACTTCTACATGGCAAACGAGATATCGAAAAGAAATGGGCCAAATTCCAAGCTGGACGAGCAGGATATACAATTGCTTTCCCCGCACTTATTCGTACTCGTAGATAACTCAAAAGATGAACGAAAAGATTTAGCATTAAAAGACACAAAACATCGATAAACTCAATTTATTTACTTATTTTATCTGTATGTTAATGATCTAATAAAAGAGAATTACTGGAAAAGAGTAAATTGGAGAGAAACAAATCGTTCTATGTGTCGATCGCATAGATATAATTTCAAAATCGATTGTGATTAATCTGAAGTAATTGACGAAAATGATTCTTTTGATTGGCTATTTCGTAGAATTAATCTTTTTGTTTTTGTTATTGATATGTATCTCACAATCATTTTCAATAGGATTGTAGGAAAATGGTCTTAAATTAAAAAAATATCATTTCATTAATGTATATAAATACAACCATATCTTAGGTTGAGTAAGCCATAAAATCGAAAATATGTCAAGTATTCGCTCTTTGACCATTGCTGTTTGTCTCGCTTTTATTTACGTAAAAGCTACCTATGGTGCGGAGTGTTGGTCCAAAAATGCTTGTATAGACACGAGTGTGTGCGCATCGAAAGGTGGAAGTTCTCAACGCGGTCTTTGCAGTGGTGCTAGCAACATTCAATGTTGTTCATGGTAAGCAAAATGATTATTATTATTCACTTCGAAGATTGATACTCTTCGCTTTCAGCTCAAATTGTATGGATGCAACTACTTGTAAAGCCCGAGGAGGTGTATCTCATACTGGCATTTGTTCCGGTGCAGCAAATATGCAATGTTGCAAAATGGGATCTGTTGTAGAACCTGTTAGTGGTACTACACCAACAAACCGAATGTTAACCGACTTAGCTGATATCCTTCGTGGAGCTGGTCTTACTGTTGTTGAAGTCGATGGTTGGAAAACACGTGGTCATGGAATAATGGCTTCAGCTAAAGGCATTTTGATTCATCATACAGCTGGTCCAGCTTCAGGTGATTTTCCTTCGTTAAGAGTTGTTCGCGATGGACGAACAGATCTTCCCGGTCCACTTTCCCAACTTGGCTTAGGCCGTACTGGAACATGGTATGTCATCGCTGCCGGTCGTTCGTATCATGCTGGTGAAACAATTGACAATTCCATATTTGGCAATTCCAATGCAATTGGTATCGAAGCTGAAGCGACAGGTGTTCCATCAACGAATACTGGACATGCTCACTGGCCAGATGTGCAATACCAAAGTTATATTCGTGGTGTTAAAGCTCTTCAAGCTGCCTATGCTATTCCAACTTCGCGTGTACTAGGTCACAAGGAAGCTGCCGTACCTGCTGGACGCAAGCCAGATCCAAACTTTTCTATGGATGAATTTCGTGCTGCTCTCAACCAATAAATTTCATTGAAAGCTAATTTCTCATAATCGCTTTGAGAAATGCTATTTCTTGAATAAAATCGAATAAAATAGTTTTCTCTTCTACAAGTCGTTCTACTTCAGTCATGAATGAACAAAAGCGAAAGAATTTTATATTAGGAAAGATTTTTATTCAAATTCAAAACAATTTTGAATGATACACTGACAAACATTGAAAATCATCATAACTTGAATGAATGAATTGCGTCGTGATCTATTAATAAGTGTTTGGCATTTCAATTAAGCTAAATGAAAAAAATATCTTGACAATATGAATAAGTTCTCGATCCAACGAACCTGAAACGCAAGCACTTTTATCAATTGTATACATTTGAATACGGTTGTTGTTTGTATCGGCAACATACAAATTACCGTCACGATCAAATGCAACATCACGTGGAAAATATAACTGAGCAGGACTGCTACCATATCCTGGTCCACCAATGATTACCTTACCAGCTTGAGCATTGTCTAACCAACGAACAACTCGTGTGTTGATGTACTCAACTACATAGACACTGCCCATTCCATCGACGGTGACACCCATTGGTTTGTATAATTGATCGTCAGCATTTCCGAATCCTTTACTGGCAATTGCAAGTTGACCTTCTTGTGCACCGGCTAACCATTTCATAATACGATTGTTGCCTCGATCGACAATGAAAAGTGTTCGACTTGCATCAACAAAGATATTATAAGGTGATGAAAGTTGATTCAATCCGTTGCCACGACCATTGCCACCAGCAACAATAAGATTATCCGGCCATTTCATGACAAGATTTGCTTCTAAATCAGAGACGTACAGTGATCCTTGATTGTCAAGTGCCAAACCCCAGCATGAGATATCCTTCAGAATAGTTTCACCTTGTTTCTCATCTTTTCGATATTTCAACACCCGTTTATTGTCTCGATCGCAAACATAAACATTTTCATCACGATCAACAACAACTTTGGTCAGTTGGCCTAATGGTTTACCATCGACCTGGTCATTTCCATTGACAATAACTTCGCCATTACTGGCACCCGATGACCATTTCATGACTCGATGATTATTTGTGTCAGCAATGTAAATACCACGATCATCAACGAACAATCCGTTTGGATAATACAGTTGATTCAATCCCGATCCAAGTCCGAGTCCTCCAGCGACAGTGATACCATTTCGATTCCATGTTGCACCTTGACAAACACTATCAATAGGAGTAGGAAGAGGAGATACTGCTTGATGGAGTGAAAAGCATGAGAGTAAAGAGAGAATTAAATGATATTGTATGCATACCATTTTGGAAAATGTAACGTGCACTGAAGATTCTGTAATCTTTTAAATATGAGAATACAACGTGGGCGAGAAAAATCGAGGTGAGACGAAAGCAACGAAATGAATATGCGCGTACATTTCTTTAATCTTAAATGGTACTAGGTGCTTTGTGGAGAGAAATAGGCGATTCTATTTCACATGGTTATCGGCAAGATTCGATATGTCGAGGGTAGATTTCAAAGCGCTTAAAACCGATCGACTCAGTAAATATTATTACAATATTATCAGGCCATATCATTAAAAAAAAAGATACTCTGCGATGATTTTTCAATAGAAGAAATGCTATTGTTTCCATACCAAACAGACGAATGAAAAGTACATCGATTGAAAACTATAATCAGGGCATGTGATAAGGTCATATGTAATACCTTTCAACGATGAAAGCACCATTCGTTGCTTACTAAGTATAATTGATTTGATTTTGAGAGTTACGAACGATATAATGAAGTTTAGTTGGAAAGTGAAAAGACGAAAAATCGATTTTGTTCGCTTTTACCGTAAATGTCTGAATGAGAACTGGCTTCGTTTTGTTATGTCATACCAGAATTTATGTTTTATGATAATTCAAATCGGTTTTCATCAGAGACGATAAATGCTACAGTTATCAGAACATGTTTTGATAGATTATTTGTCTTTGGTTGATGACGATCGAAACTTAAAAAAACATCAATATGCGAACTAAAATCCCTCTGTTGATATGTGTTCTGTAAATACATATAAATTATATCCAAACATAATTCATTTGACAAAATACATAAAGAAGGGCAAAGAGAAAACAACTTCTCTCTGGTTGAGTGCATTTTTCTGATGCAATGAAGCTCATGCATCCACTCAGCTCATTTCTTAAGAACATACAAATGCCTATAGCTATAATCCTTAGTCAATGCAATTGAGAACAAATGGCCGAAAGAAAAGAAAAAAATGTACTTATACGCATGAATACATGGCTGATGCAATACCTAGAAAAAAAACCCTTTTTCTTATATTCAACGTCAAGAAGTGCATCGTTCGAGAGTGTATATATAAACGATACAGACGAACAAGCACACATTATTTCTCATACAAGTGCTGTTGGTCATCGGCAGCGTCTCGTATTCAAGCGTCGTTCGTTGTATTTGTTATACTCATATTTATATTAAATTCAACATCGAAGAAACAAACTCGTTTGGGTCCACCGATTTTATTACACATTCGTGTTCAATACTATTCTCCTACTTACTTCGTCCTATCTGAGTAAGATCGTTTTGTATAAAGAAATCTCTGATCATTCGTTGTCATTTTATGTGTAGATTTATGTATTACTGGAGTTTTCTAAGTAACTCGTTTTCATGGCAAACAGTCGATCGCAAGATCCTCTGCCAGCAATTTCTATTTCTACTGATCATGTTATCGAAACATCGCTGGCTGAACAACCCGAACCAGCTATTGAATCAGCAAATGATAATTTTCATATGTATTCTCGCGATGATTTATTTCTTCGTTTCCAAACAAATCAAACTACTGGCTTATTCACCGATCAAATTCTTCAATTCGTAAAACAATATGGTGAAAATAAATTGACCCCACCTAAAAAACCGAATTACATTTGGATATTTTTCTCTCAATTATTAACTGGCTTTAATATCTTCTTATGGGTCGCAGCGATATTTGCTTTTCTTGCTTGGAAACCATTTGGCGAACCTGATCCTCAAATAGCCAATTTGGCGCTGGGCATTCTCTTGTGTTTGATTATCTTTCTCAATGGTATTCTCGATTCATATCAAGTTATTAAATCAATCAAAATTGTAGCCTCGTTCGCCAATCTCCTTCCAACGTTAACAACTGTGCGACGTGATGGTGTTGAACAACAGATTATTGCAGAGAAACTCGTTCCAGGTGATATTGTACTCATTCGAATGGGAGAAAAACTTCCAGCTGATTTACGTCTGATCAGTTGCGATGGCTTAAAGGTTTGTCTATAGAATTGGTAGGAAGAAAGTTGCAAGTATTGTTATTCATAGGTGAACAATGCGAATTTAACCGGCGAATCGAAAGCAGTTTCGTGTACAACTGAATGCACGCATACAATAATGCTAGAATCGAAAAATATTGTTTATTGTTCTTCAATGGTTGAACAGGGTACTGGAGAAGGTCTTGTTATTGCTACTGGAGATCAAACAATGATTGGTCGCATGTCGAAATTGACGCAAGGAAATGGTGGAGATGAAGTCACAGGTAAATTTAGAATTTAAAGCATAATGACAAGTCGATTGATGCAATTCTTATCTCAAGGACTTCATCGCGAATTCAATCGTTTTCTGTTGTTCGTTTGTGTTGGCACGGTCATTGCCGTCGCAATCCTATGGATAACTTGGGGCGCTTGGCTTCAACGAGATCATCCCACGTTTGTTACTTACAACAATAATATTGTAAATTCCGTTGGCATGATCGTTGCTTTTCTTCCTGTTGGTCTTCCATCATGTGTGACATTTGGTAAAGAAATATTTACAATGGAAATTTTTCATTTTGAATAACATCTCATTGATTTTAGTATTGACTATTGTGGCGAAACGAATGTATCGACAGAAAGTTCTTGTCAAAAGTCTTCAAATCGTCGAAACTTTCAATTCGGTTTCGGTCATCGCAACAGACAAAACAGGAACTTTAACACAAAACCAGATGACAGTTACACATCTGCTTTGGGATCTAGACAAGACATTAGCTCTTCCAAGTATCCACTCGAACGAATCATCGTCTTCTCAACAACCGAATCCTTCCGATCGAAATACGCTGGAAATGATCGAACGTCGAGCATCACGTACAACCAATGTATCGATTGATGTTATTCATGACCTCTTACTTGGTGCCTGTTTATGTAATAATGCTGAAGTACAACTTGTTGCCAATGTTGAACTTGGTGGTAATACAGCTGACATGGTACGTGAAACGAAGATTGTTGGAGATGCTGCTGATACTGCTCTGTACAATATGTGTAGTCGTGCTTGTCAGATTGATATGATAGAAACACGTTCGAAAAATCGCCGTTTACAAGTTCTTCCATTTAATTCTAACATGAAACTGATGATCTCAGCGAACAAACTAGAAAACTCTCCATCGATGGTTTTGATCCTGATGAAAGGTGCGCCTGATTATGTTATTCAACGCTGTTCCACGTACAAAACAAACCAGGGCGATGTGGAATTATTAACCAATGAGATTCGGCAGATGATTGTCAAACGACAAGAAATCTTTGGAAAAGATGGCTATCGACTTATTGCCCTATGTCAACGAAGTCTTGGGGAAAACGAATTCAATGAATATGTCAACGAAAACCACTCCGATCATTTACATGGATTTCCATCGGATAACTATACTTTCATTGGCCTATATGCACTAATCGATCCTCCACGAGATGAAGTTCCAGATGCTGTTTTGAAAGCTCGTCATGCTGGTATTCGAGTAGCTATGGTCACTGGGGACCATCCAACGACGGCAAGATCAATTGCTAATCAAGTGAATATACTGTCGTCGGAAATCTCGCTCAATAACGGTATTGATACATTTCAATCGACAAAAGATCAAAGTGGTAAAATTATCGTTGATCTTTATCGAAATGATAATTTATTAGAGAAACATGAAGTTGCTCACATAACAAAACTTGACTTGGATATCAGAGAACGCAATCATTCCGATGGGAAGAAACTTTCCTGGTACAAACGAATGATTGGTGCATGTAAAAATAATTTTTCGGATCCAACCAGTGGAAATGCAAATGAAGGTGTCAATCGAATGAATTATGTACCGTATGGTGTTGTTGTAAGTTGAAAATCTTCATGAATCAATTCGATCATTGTTCTTCTTACATAGGTGACGGGACGTGAAATCGAAAATATGGATGATTATATGTGGGATTGGGTTTTATTGCATCAAGAGATCGTCTTTGCTAGAACATCACCGGAACAGAAACTTAGCATTGTGACAGAATTTCAACGTCGTGGAGAAGTTGTTGCCGTAACTGGCGACGGAACAAACGATGCGCTTCCATTAAAATATGCTCATCTTGGTGTAGCCATGCAATCGGGTACGGATATTTCAAAAGATGCTGGTGATATGATATTACTTGATAATAATTTTTCATCGATTATCCGAGCTATTGAAACCGGTCGATTAGTTAGTGACAATCTTAAAAAAGTTGCGATACATTTGCTCCCGGGAGGTACGGATGATATATTTGAAATACGTTTCTCTTCTTAATCATTTACTCGATTTAGGATCATGGTCACAAATATGGCCGATATTTTTCAATTTATGGTTTGGTATGCCGTTGGCATTGTCAGCTTTTCTAGCAATCACGTTCTGTATGATCAACGATGTATTTCTTTCATTAGCGATGGCAAATGAAAAACCCGAACGTGACATTATGGCACGTCCACCATCAATTCGTTCGAAAGATCGAATGCTTAATCTACGTTTATTATTCCATGCATTCATGCTTGCTGGCAATGCTGCCACATTCGTCGGATTTTTCAGTTACTGCTACTATTGGATTGATAATGGGGTGCCATTTTATTCGTTTATGTTTACATTTGAACACTTCGGTAAAGATCTTCCTCTTCCACAATCACCGGAAGAGCTACGACGAATGACATCAGCTGCTCAGAGCGCTTACTATTGTTCGACATGCGTTTTTCAAATGATAAATTTTTTTGCTACGAGAACACGTTATGCATCGATCATTCAACACAATCCATTCTGGGGTCAAAGTCGAAATTGGTACGTCTTCTTGGCTATTATTGGGTCGACAGGCGTTCAACTTCTTGTTACGCGTATTGTCTGGTTCAACAATACATTTCAAACTCAGCCTATACCTGTGAAATACATCGCGCCCACGATTGGTTTTGGTATACTTTGGCTTCTTATTGATGAATTAAGGAAATTATGTGTACGCAAATGACCAAAAGGCATTCTAGCTAAAATTGCTTGGTAAATTGGATATACTAATCAGAATTAGTTTAGATTCTAATCATTAATCAAGTTTTTAATGAGTTTGTCAATTTATTTCAGAACTAAACTATGTATTTTCTATTTCGTTGAATATCTTTCTATATATCAATAAACTCGTTTGAAAACAGATCATCAAATCCATCTAGACATAATAATTTGCAAGACAAATACGAAGAAGTCACATGGCGAACAAAATTTTCGAAAAATATTTCATTTGATTGGGAGCCTGTCAAGGACGAAGAACAAAAGTACTGTTCGTCGTGTTTTTTTCTTTTCTCTCTATTTCCAACTGTGTTTGCACGCCTCGAAGTAGTCTGACTCATCGCTCGTGATTAATACGATAATTATGCCGATGAGAATGATTTTTCTTGTTTAGTAGAATTCAACCACCTTCCCCGTCCACATGTAATAACAAAAGCTCGAAGATATTGAATGTCGTTGCTGATTTACTCATCAGCTTACGCATTCGCTCAGACCGAAAAAGCTAGTAGAACAAAAAAGTCAATATTTCCCTATCTATGATACAGGAATAACGAGACGAGAGAGAGAGAGAGAGAGAGAGTGGGATTTTGATTTTTGTCCCTCATTGTGACTCACAGCGAGAATCGTTTGTATATAAGCGACTAAATATTGTCGGATAAGCAGCAGAAATTTGGAAATTTTTATACACTTGAACGAATGGCTATCGTTTGTCTTGGACTAATTGGTATTGCAGCTGTTGTTGCCATCATTGGCGTGGTTCTGTTAGCTATTTGTGTCGGCGGAGTCATTATTCTACTCTTGGTAATGCCATTGTCATCAAAATGAATTTCTTCTATCAGAATACTATTGAAATTCTTATTTTCATAGACTTGCTGTTGCTGTCCAAAAGTCATCGCGATATGTAGAAAACGAAAAAAGTGCAAGCCACCACCGCCGCCTAAAGACGAAAGGCCTTGTGCCGAACGAATTAAATTTCGAGAGTGTTATATTTGACTGTATTTCATTGGAAGATACTATTAACCTACGACATATAATGTTTGTTCGCCCGATCAGTACTGTAGCTTAATAATAAACTTCGTGCTATATATCTATAAATACATAAAGAACAATATTCCTTTGCTATTTGGTTCTCTAGAGATCGGGTTCTTATTATCAGCTCTCCAAGATAATTCATTAACTCTAGAAGAACGTAAGAAGGTGGTAACTGGTTGAAATTTCATCCAGTTTCGACTATAACTGTTAGTTTTGAACCAATTCTCACAACTTCTGAAAAATCAGCTCAAATTTTTGACACATCAGTTGATATACGTAGGGTATAACAACATACACATTCACGCATTGTTCGCTACCAGTTTCCTATAGGGTATGAATGGCATGCATACGTACAAAGAAAGAGAAAAGATGTCTATCTCTTGTATCGATCAAGAGTATGAAGATGGAACAGAACGAGTAAAGAAACATGGATATGTAAACGAGTGTCTACTCAATACACTCTAATACATTATATAATTCAAGGAAAACAATCATATCCTTGGATTCTACATCTACGATGGCTACAGCAACGTTTCATAGTAAATCTACGGCACTTGATGTTGTTCATAGTTTAAACGTAAACTTAGATGGTCAGATTGCTATTATTACCGGTGGTACATCAGGTAAACCAATTACACTGTGAAATATGTAGAAAGAATTAATCGATCAATTCTAAGGTATTGGTCTAGAAACAGTACGAGCGTTAGCGTCGATACATGCACATGTTATCATTCCTACACGAGATCTGACTAAAGGCAAACAAGTGGTAGAAGATATGAAAAAGTCAACTGGAAATAAAGCTATTGAAGCAATTGAGTGTGATTTGACGTCACTGGAATCAGTTCGTAGTTTTATTTCTGAATTTCATACTCGTCAACTACCGATCAAAATTCTTATCTGTATGTATTACTAGTTACTTCTCATTTTTATCGAGACATACATATGTAATAGGTAATGCAGAAACAAAGGCTTGTCCATGTTCGAAAACAACCGATGGCTTCGAATCACAATTTGCTGTTAATCATCTTGCTCATTTTTTTCTCACAACAAGTCTTTTGCCAGAACTCGAAGCAGGCAAGCCATCACGTGTTGTCATAGTTAGTTCCGTTGCAAATAAACGTGGTGGTATCAACTGGCATGACATCAACTGGGACAAGAAGTACGACAAATGGCTTGCTTACAGTCAAAGCAAAACTGCTAATATTCTTTTTGCTAAGCAACTGGATAAGTTATATGCATCCAAAGGTATCCATGCATACTCTGTTCATCCAGGTGGCATCATAACGAATTTGCGACAGAATATACCAGAGAAGGAACAACGAGCGATGGGTTGGTACAAGGACGATGGAACATTAATTGAAGTCTTTAAAACTGTGGCACAAGCTGCATCAACAAGTGTCTACGGTGCTTTAGCACCTGAATTGGATCATTTTGGCGGAGAACATCTGGAAGATTGTGCGGTTAGTAAAGGTGTCAATCCAGATAAAACAGCCTGGGGCATAGCACCGCATGCTGCAGACATGGAAGCAGCTGAGCGTCTATGGAAGTTAAGTGAACAAATGGTGGCATCGAAAATGCATCTTTAATCTCAGAATTTGAGTGTAATATACATGAACTAGAACTTGATTTTGCTGTTTTTGTGAAAAATATGATTCTATATAAACAAAATGGAAGAACGAGAGACTACAAAAAAGTTCGGTGCGTCATTCAGCTATTATTCTTGTGTTCGACTGAATCGACCGAGAAAATTACTTCGTGATGTGTAGTTTTTTTTATCACGTGGTTATGACACTTTTAGAAAATGCACTGTCTCGTTTATAGGCTGCCTATTTTTCAGAACTAAGATTAGGTATTTTCTATCGTATTTGATAAATTTTCAAATTAAAAGAGTATTGAGGATTAATATTTTAATACCCTTTTGTCCTCGTTTTCTGCCTAATGGGTTATTTCTTCGTCTTTACTGATGTATATAAGGCGCCATCAGCCAAAGGCTTTCAGTATATTTTAGGAAACAGTGTAAGTAACTGCTAAATTGTCAAATATTCTTTATCTAAATGGTTTTTTTTCTTCGATAGTCTATCAATTGTAACCATGCTCGCTACCAACGTATTCTCGATTTTAGTTTGTTTTTTTCTGGCCCATGCCACTTATGCTTTTCATGGAAATATTTCCATGGCGGATGATGGTATTCAACCACGAGTTATGCTTACGAACTTAGCCACTATTCTTCGAAATGCTGGCCTCGATGTCACAGAAGTTTCTGGCTGGGCAACACGTGGTCATGGCCAAATGACTGCCGTTAAAAGTATCATTTGTCATCACACTGCTGGTCCAGCAACCGGTGATATGCCTTCATTAAATGTCATTCGTGATGGTACTTCAAGTCTTGCTGGCCCACTAGCACAATTGGGATTAGGTCGTAGTGGTAAATGGTTTGTTGTTGCTGCTGGTCTTTCCTATCATGCTGGCGTTGTTACTAATTCAGCTTTGTATTCGAATGCTAATGCTATTGGCATCGAAGCTGAAGGTACAGGTCTTCCGGCTACCAATAGCGGACATACATACTGGCCTGAAGTTCAGTATCAAAGTTATTTGAAAGGTGTTCGTGCTCTTATGAAAGCTTTTAATGTACCAAAGGCTAATGTTCTTGGACACAAAGAAGTTGCCTCACCATTAGGTCGTAAGATTGATCCAAACTTTTCTATGGATGAATTTCGTAATGCTCTTTAAACTCAAGATGTTTCTATACTTTATTCACTTTTTATTGAACGAAGATTGACGCATTTTCAATAAAAATGAGCTCATATCAACATTTTATCATCACTGTCATTCTAATTCCAGTAATACTCAAGATGAAAATGTTCTTTTTATCAAGTGTAGAATATCACACAGTATATTAAGTTATATAAAAGTAGAAAGCGGTAAATGTAGTTGCAAGCATCCTTTTAACATCTAATTGCTGCTTGTGAACAATAGTGACGATTCTATTTTTATTGCAAATAGCAACAATCTGCGCTTCGTAGTACTTCTTTACAACATAAACATTAGTTAGGTCTACATTCAGTTATTTCTTGTTCCATAAACACAATTTTCAACTAATATTAACATAGGCTTCCTGTTTTACGTCTCCATCGGTATACAACCAGAAACTTAGAGTGTAGATATGTCCGATTGTAACATTAAAATATTGATGTAAATAATCATAATTTCCTTGACATGCCCCTTCGTAACAGTTGGAACTATTGTGACAATTAGTTTGAACGAGACTGCTTTGTTTGCCAGAAAGACAACTTTGACTACTACATGCTATTTGCCAACCAACTAATGAAGCTGCTTCAAAATTTCCGTTGAGTAACATTTCAATACCGGATGCATTTATATCAATAACACTAACATCATCGAGATGCCAAGTAAAGGATGGATTCTTAGCCTTGAAACCAAACTCAAGAAGAACAATTCCAGTAGATATCGCTGTGTAGTTGTACATTTGCCTTTGATAAGTAGTCGGTGATGTTGTATATGTAGCAATACGTGCAGATGATGGCATACATGAAACATCTATGAAAAAATGTCAAAACTAAAGATTTTCCTGTTGTACTCACTCATAGTTGTAAATGGCATTGTCGTCGTAGTATATGATAGCGTCGTATCTAGCTAAATAAAGTTTCTTTGCTGCTGAATCTCTCGTTATTACTTACTAGTAGGATATGCCTGAGTAAAGATGATTACTGTGTTCCTTTTACTTATAACAGTTAGCTGTAACCTTCCCTCCCATCTTGCTGCTGAGAAAAGTGAACATTTTTGCAAAACACCGTCATAATTTGCAAGAGAACAAGTTGAATTAGGCATGCACCAATACCAAAACTAGTTTTGAAATTTTGGTATTGAAGTCTTGGTTTTGATGTGGTTTTGATTTCAGTACTTTAGTATTGATTGGGTTTTGGTTTTGATCGCTTAGTTTCGGTTTTGGGTTTTGGATTTGAAAGTCTTGAAAGTTTTGATTTTAGTTTTGGTTTTGGTTGTTAAAAACAGTCTTATTAGATTTATCTTGAAAGACGAGCAACAGTATTGAAATCATATCAAGACCAAAACCATGTCAAAACCAATACCAAAACTGCCAAAACTTTATCAAAACCTATACTGCAAAACCCAAACTAAATCAAAACCAAATCTTCAAAACCCAAGAGGTTTGGTATTGGTGCATGTCTAAGTTGAATACGTATTGCATTGACAAGCGCATGCATCGATCGACGGTACACTAGGAACGATCGTCAATTGCGAAGTGGAATTGCTTGGATAAAACTGTGCATTGTCAATTCTACTTATACGTATAGATTGTGTATACTGATGATGATAGCAGATCAAAAGTAGAAGGATTCTCCAAAACATTGTCAACATTCAAAAAACCAATTCTAAGATACAAGATACACCGTGGAAAATATACGCACACTTCATTCTTACTCTCTCCTTTTCTTATTTGCTTTTCATTTCCTTACAGAGTGATCAATAATGACACACCATTTTACTTTCTTTCGCCTTCAATGCGTAGTTCTGTCATACTTTGAAGAAGATGACATTAAGTTATACTTCAACTGAAGCAAAAATGATTTTAATGGTTCGATGGAAAACGTAAACAGATATGGCCTCATTGTTCTACTTTATAATTACGCCAGAAGATATTTCAGCCGATTATTTGTAGTAAACCATAAATGATGAATGTTCCGATCAGGCTGAGTAGAAGCGTTGTTAGAAATCCGTACTTGAAATAAGTCCAGAATTGAAAGCGATATTTAAGAGGACTTGCCAATGCCTTTTGAGCGACGATAAGATTGGCCACACTGCCAAACAGAGTCAAATTACCGGCAATTGTTGTAATAAACGCAAGATACAAGATCAAATTGAGATGGTCACCTGTGCGTGGAACTTGTTCAAGAACCAGTAACGTTAGAGGTACGTTAGAGAAAACATTGCTACCAATAAGAATAAATATGTAGAAAAGTAACAAAGAATTTAGATCTTTTAACGTTGCTCGGTCGAGTTTAAGTGCTACCCTAAACAAAATAGGATTCTTTAGAGAAATCAGTTGCATTTGAAACGAAAACATACCATAGCCAATGAGGAATACCAGTCGAATTCAACCCATCGAGCCAAACAAAAAGACCAAAAAAGAGAAGAAGAACATTCCAATCAATTCGTGTCAATATAAAAATCGGAGATCGGCGATTGATTAAAGTATCAGCAACGATGAGTATGATTGCTGCTCCAACTGGTATCAAACCTAGAAATAAAATTTGGATGAAATGAAATTGATCATATTCGTAGAAATATACCAATATCAAAATAAATTTTATCATTTGAGATAAATAATAGAACAATAACGAGAATGAGTAATGCACAAAGAATAATTTTAAAAGGTCGAGAGTGAGATGATTCTAGTGACACTTCGTATTCCTCGGCAAGCTCTTCTAGAGTTGCAAATGATGCAACTGAAACGCATCGATCTACCATCGCAGGTGCCGGTCGCAACGCTCGCATCGACGCTCTTTCCGATGACTCGCTCATCCGTTTCATTCGAAAACTCTCATTAAGCCGAGTCGATCTGGGTGTACTTTGACTAACAACAACTGACGTTTGAACTTGTTCTTCTACTGTATGAACAGCAGTTGTTTCACTCGCCGTTTGCTTAGGCGATGTTCGATTTGATCGAAATCGGTTTAGACGATAATAGAAGAAGAGAAAGAGCAAATTGAGTAGCCAAACAATTAAAGTTGGTAACCATAAATATTCAACACATGTTTTTAATTCCAATCGACTATGATGATCAACAAATGCATTTGATTTCGATGCCATCAACGCCATTTGTGGATTGCCAAAAATCGTCAATGTACTTCCTAAATACAACTAAAAGCATAAAGACCCGATGACATCTTTTGCGCTTACCAATATTCGCTTGAGTAGCTATTGCCAACAGTAACGTATCTAATTCATATTGGTCTCGTTCTTGTTCAATCCATTTCTTCAATATCAATGGTGTGAGTATCACACAAGCAACGTCATTAGTAAATAAAGCTGCGACAATGGAATCGATGATACTCAATCGTAGCAGCCACCAGTGAAATGCCAGTCCAGGTGGGAAAAGCTTGTTCAATAGATAATCAACTAAACGTTCACGTTCGAAATACGACGAAATCACCATCATACCCCAAAGAAGAAAGATCGTTTTTAAATTGTTTGCATCGCCGATAACTTTATAGACATGACTTTGGTCGATGACAGTGGTGGCAACCATCAGAAAAGCGCCGACTAGCACAGCGGCGGTACTTCCCAATGGAAACCGCGAAAATGGGATTAAAACAAACGGTAAAACAAGAGCGAACGTTAAACAGCCAAGAATGATTTGGTATGTATGAGCTATGGAAATCAAAGTGTCAGGAATCGGATCAGTATCGTTTGCCATTGCGATGTGACAACGATAGATCAATCGATCAGTGTGGAAGAAAAATGTTATGAATACTGAGTCCCTTGAATAAACAACTTTTCGTGCTTAAACGGCGAAAAAAATGTAATTTAGTATAAAATAAATCATTCAATTAGGCAATCAAAACGATTTCTTCTATTTTCGACGGTCATAAACGTTAATGTTTATCGACAAATGTGCGATGCTTTTTTTTTCTCTTTCTTTTCTTCATAGACTTCTTTGCCTGAACATCTACGATGGGTACACATATATGGATGATAGGGTGTTAAAGTGCATCATGTATCAATAAAAGATGCTTGACCGAGCGCGATAAGAAGTTCATCATTATCGGATTACAAAAACATCGTAATATTATGTAAAATTGATTGCGTTGTCTTCACTTCCTGTAGACCATAAAAAAATCAACACGTGTCAAAAGAAATGCCAATGGAGTCTTATATTGCCCTCAAGATAATATGAATCTACTAAAGGGTATTAAAAATAAAATACCGAAGATGCACATGATACAAACATCGAAAGGTAAACAATGTTTACTTTACATATTTTATTTCTCTTGTCTTTTTTCCTATGAACAACAAATTGAAATGAAAAATCCTCATAAAGAAACAAAAATAATTCGACATATTCCACAAGTTATGCTAATGAAATGACATTTCTTCATCGTAGTATTGATTCGCTTGTTCACAGAGCCGATCGATGGAACGTAGTTGTGTCCGTGTAAATAATTGTGATTGCATATGGGCAAATTCTGCTAGATGAGTCAAATCCATTGAAGCTGTTCGACGATAAAATTCATATTGATTTCTTTCCTCTTCGCTTAACGATGAATGTGATTCTTGTTGAATAACTGCTAGATGCGTTCGAAGTGCAGCGATACAAAGATGGGGAAATAAGTGTTGCAACTAAAATTAGTCATTAAAAAGAAAACAATCTATTTGGAATCTATTCGATGTGACACCTACCCATTTATTTGATGTTAATAATTGTCGAACTTGTTCATCTTCGTCGTAATCTTTTCCGTACGGAAATAGTTTCAATTGTTTTAGAACAATAAAAGCTCGTTGCTGTTGTCCAGTTCGCAGATAATAATCAACGAAAGCATACGTATCTAATAGCAGAAAATAGTGGTGTTTTTCTTCAACGATTTCAGTATTTGATAGAATTTGCAGTCGTTGAGCTAATTCATAGACAAATGGCAATGGTGTTGATGTTGATGAAGGCATTAATAGACGATCGAGAATAATTTGTGTCATATATTCTGAAGCAAGTCGAATTGAGGGTTCGTATTCATGAGCAAGTTCATAGAGTGCAGATGCAACAAGTAAATGTGATCGGTGATGTTCTTCAATTGATTCCGCAAGTTGCATTAAAATATCGTCTATATCCGAGTCATCAAGGTGCGAGAATAATCGATGTAAAAGACCTGTTATGAACGAAATAGAGTGTGTATCAATTTTTTTACATGAAAACTTTTTCAATGTGATCGTACCTCGTTCAAGTTTCACAGTTTTATTCTCATCTCCATCATCGCCATTCGTAACTATAGCCCATTTTCCATATACAATATGCAAATCATCTAAATTTGTGGTTAAATCAATTAATAATCGACGGAATTCCGTTCCGGCTTCTAAGTGTTCGATCTTAATCAACGCATACGCATAATTAATCAACTCCCAATATCGCCGTTGGTCATGGATTAATTTCTCTCTCAAATACGATTCAATCAGTTTAGGTAGATTCAGTACGGTGCTCGTTTTATTCTGTTGAGAACTGCCTGCGATCATAATCATGCATTCATCGACCGATGATGTTAAACCAAGTAGGTATTTCTCGTTGAAGTAAATTGCTAAGTGAACTGAATGAACTTTGGTCGAAGGAAGTTTAAATAAGAATTCACAAGTAGATTCGAATGCACCGCAGAGAAGTAGAACGCGTGCATAACGGAATGGTTGTTCATATGCTTTGAAATATTCTTCACCAAGATCACGTAGAATCCAACGTTGAAGTCGCGGAATAGTTAATTGAACATGAGTGCGATCCTGAAAAGCGGTTTCGTTGATGATCTGAATCTGTGCTAGTTTTATCCAGAGAAAATCTTCAATACATAATAAAACATCCTCATGGGCATCGACTAAATTCGTTCGATCCAGTATACAAATCACGGCACTAAAAATCGATGATTTTCTTCGCTTGAGAAAGAATTTAAAAGTTCGTCATACCGTTTATAAGGATTTCCTACAAGACTGTATTCAATATTTTGAATATTTGAAGTTTTATTTGATGACATCGAGATATTTGTGACCGCCGTTTGATCTTTTGATAGATAGTTTTCAAGTAAAGTTCGAACATGAGGTAAACTAGAGCAGAAAATACGTGAAGAAATTTATTGCAAAGTATATCCTATTTACTTGGCTTTCTGAATGATTCGTAGAGCCAAATCATTATCACCTGCTCTCAATGCATAGAAAATCAATGGCCATGCTGAAACGCCGTCGACAAGACGATCATCAACAGATTGCAAACCAGAAATCTTCTCGTTCGATGTTATAAATGATAATAAACACCCATATAGATCAATATCATTGTAGGTAATTTCCAATGCTTGACGAAAACTTCGTTCAAGATAGTCACGTGCACAGAGAACGATAGCGCGTTGTGCTTGAAATAGATCTTTTTTGTCATAATCATAATCAAGGACTTCAGACATCCATTCAGCTGCGTGCCACATATCAGCTACTCCCTAATTTCCAATAATAAACGACAGAATAATTTGGAAGAAAAAAAAACTCAGTATAATTGAAAATTACTTGTGTTTCACAATTCTTGGCAACTTGTTTATATTGTACAATCAATTGATCAGCGTCACCTGTACCGTCTGATGTTCTAGTTGAATTGTATCTAATCAGCTACAAATAGGAAAAGATCAGATCTGTACTCAAATCGGTCTCATTCATTTACTGTTTGAGCATATTGCTGTTCGACGGATGTTAGATCAGTAAATACAGATGATTGATTTGATTGAGATATCCAACCCTAGAGAATAAAGAACTGGATGGACTTCTTTGAAAATATCAAACTAACCGATTTGAAGTCAGATGGAGGTGGAGATGTTGTGGAATCATTTAATATTTGTACAGTCTATAATTTCAAAGATGAATCAATGTGTTTATCAAAGTAAACGAACTTTTGTCGATGATGCTGTATCGTACGAAGAAATTGAACGAGGACGAAGATCATCGGCTAATAGACAGTTAATTAAATTTCGTCGTCTTTTCAAACTATCATCAAAGATTTCTTCCCAGTAATCAGTGTCAGCTTGAGTTAACGACTATGAGGAACAAAAAGTCAATTATATGATGTTCTTGATTTGAAAAGAATGAATCATTACTTGTTGGGTTAAATATTCAAATAGTTCATCATTAAAACTTGCTCTTTCACTTTTCAAGTGTGCATCTAATTCTGTTTCATTGTTAACTTTAGCTACTCGATTTGTAGGTTTTACTGTGTACGACGAAGTTGATGATGTTGTTTCGATTGCTGCTAACTTCTTTTCAATGCTTGTTAAATTGAAAGAAGCTGATGGATTCGAAACAAACATTTAGAACAATATCGTTCAAGTATTTTATTTCAGTATTAATCTTTAAAAAAAAAGTTCTTCACCTCAATATTCTGATTGGCCCGTCTATCAATGAATCAACAATGAGCGCTGTATGCAACAATTGCATTGTCTGAAATATCTACGAGATTAATAAGATATTCTAATAAAATACAATTCAGCAAATGAATAATTTATATGCAAAGAAATTTTATACGATCTTTTCTCTATTGGTCAAACATTGATGTACAGAGAAACAAATCAATCAATCAACATATTCTGGGTCTTCTTTATCATTATTTGTTTCTATCTGTCCGATTGACGTAATAAGGAGATAATACGAATTTTGTTTCTGTATGTGTATGTAATTGTTTTCAGATTATTTCCCGTGTCAGATCTGATCAAATTAGCGAAACATGTCAGTTGTACCAAATAAGAAATGTGGCCGTTGCGAAAAAATTGTCTATCCAACAGAAGAAATCAAATGCCTCGATAAAGTAAATAATCACATTTTTCTCCTATTCGGATATTCTTCACTTTTCTCTGTCGTTTTGACATTAGACAAGATAGTACATCACGTATGTATTCATCATCTCTAATCAGTTTTTCCCTTTATCTACGAGCCCATCGCATAGCACGATTCTTTTCACACGCTATCATAACGCTTATGCTTCACATTATTCTATTTCTAACTGTTTGCTTATTTTAGTACTGGCATAAAGGCTGTTTGAAATGCACAGTGTGCGGAATGACCCTCAATGTGAAAAACCTGAAAGGTTACGAAAAGATGCCATATTGTCATGCGTAAGAACTTCTTTAATATGTCATTGTTTCTATTCTAAATGAAAGCTTATTCAGACATTATCCTCAACCAAAACCAACTGTTGTCGTTGATAATCCTGAAATGCAACGTATTCGGTTATTAACTGATATTCAAAGCAATGTAAGATATTTTGTTTCGGAGTATGGAACGTACATGATTAGCGTTTGTTCAGGCAAAATATCATGAAGATTTCAACAAAAGTAAAGGAAAATTTACAGTCGTAGCTGATGATCCTGCTTTAACACGAGCCAAAGAACAACAACGTATAGTTAGTCAAGCAGAATATACTGGCAAACGAAAAGATAATAACTCACAAATAATCTCTAATAGTAAATGAGAAATGATTCGACTGTTTTTGGTTAAAGATTTCGTTTCCTGTAGACAACAATGGTTCAATGTCGAAATATAATTCATCGGAATTAAGAGTCGGACGTGGTAATTGAAAATACTTCTCAGTTTTCTATCATTTTTTTCTCGACATTATAGTTGCTGATTATGATCCAATCAATGATGATCGTGGCTCCTTGTCACGTGGTTATGAACCAACATCGAAAGCTATGCAAAATACCAGTATGTTTACTTTGTTTTTCGAAAGACGTCCTCATCATATCTTGCACCTAGAATACGATACGAACCAAAACAATAATTACAAATCCGACAATGGCAATCATAACGATACTCAATCTACATTGGTAAAGAAAGAGTTTTCCGAAACAGAAAGCTGTGACAAAGAAATTTGACGTATATTTAGATGAAAGTTCGTGCACTTTATTCGTATACAGCCGCTGAATCGGATGAAATCAGTTTTGCGGAGGGTGACACCATCATCGAATGTGAACATATTGATGCTGGTTGGATGTTAGGACGTCATCCTCGAACGGGCAAACAAGGTTTACTTCCATCAAATTACGTTGAAATCATCGGTTGAGAATCAATTCTTCATTGTTATGTTTTCCTATTCTCTTTTTCTCATCGAGAAGATCTTCTTGTGAATATATCTATACATAAAAATTGTTTTTATGCTATGACATTCTTCTACTCTTATCCATTTGTTATCTCTCTTTTGCCGTGCGTGTGTGTGTGTGTGCTGTTACAGTTCAGGCGAGAACTCTTAGAGATGAACAAGGTGTTATGTACTTTTTTGTTCAAAACCAGCCAAACCTACTTAATAAAATTGAATAGTTATTCTTCTATTGTATGTCAATGTGGCCATTGGGAAAATCATGGTTGATAACGATAAAATTTATTGACATTGAATCATTCGATAGATTACATATACGTGCGAAATGATAGTCATTAATGATGATGCCGACTTCTCGATTGGTAGCGCTTCTTTATCCGAATGAAACTTGTGCATATCGGAAAGTCCGTCAGTTGATTTCATCGAATCGACATTTTTCTCCGAATATTTGTGATGAATTTGGTTGCAATTTTCTTATGTATTGTCTTCGTTTTCAATATCATCGATTGCTTCATTTCTTGTTGGATGAAGTCTCACTTGATTTGGATTTTTCGGCAAAAGATCAACAAGGGAATACCATTCTTCATTATGCAATCATTTACAGCGAAGGAAATCTTGAAACTATTGATAGATTAATCGGAAAGTACGAAGAATTTTACGTTGAAATCGATCAAAGAAATGCTCTTGGATTCACACCATTACTTTTCGGTAAAAACGATTTCTTTTTCAAAAAATCACACACGATTCACAAATAATTCTAGCCGCTTTTTGTGCTCGATACGATCTCGTTCATCTCTTCTTAATCAAAACTAAATCGTCGCCATTTGTTCGCGACTATGTTCAATACAAGAACTTATTCGAGTACATCCAACACGATATCATAAAGAAGAAGCATGACAATGGCAAAACCATTTCAGACATCTTTCAACACTCATCCAACTTTTTCGAGAATCTCTTCCCCGAAATGACGCAAACTGAATTAGAAAGATTACGTTGTTTACTAAAAAAGCGATTCTATTTCCAATCTTTACCATTGGATCTATTACAGTTAGTAAATCAACGTTATTCGCAAATTAAAGTCAATCAAACATTCAAAATTTCGAAAACAAGTCATGAACAAAACAACTCGAAGATATCTATTCATCGTATTCTACAGTTATATGATCCAAATCCACGACCGAAAATTCTACCACCACTCTCGCCACAAGCTTCGAACAAACCGATGAAATTCAAGCAGTTAGGGACTAAAATAACCAAATTAAATGCTTTCGCTCGATCTTCAATAAGAAAAAAGTCTTCAGCATAAATATATCTTCCAGTTAGTTTCCTTTAGAAATAAAGTACAAAGTCGCTCAACTATAAATGACGAGGTCTAAATTAAACGAGAAGATTTCCAAGAGAATATACTTAAACATGTTACCCTCGTTTTCATAACTGTGTGTATAAGTATAGTTCTTAATTACGAAGAATATGTAAGAAAAGTTCGATGGAGATAGTCATTTCTTGAACGTTAAACACAATTATATAGTTCCTTTCGATCGTATGTAATAACATTAGAATGATAGTAATCATCGTATGCTTTGTATCTATTAAAAAGAGATTGTTTCCGTTTTTGTCTTACAAATCAGAAAAGAAATAGCAAAGAATCGGTTGTTTGCTCGTCAGTACATCTTATATGAATGAATGGATTATCGAACGGGTCGGTTCGTTTGGAACACTGTCGAATACAAATGTTCTTCGATTGTTCGTCGCGCGAAGAAAGTGATTCCAAACGATTTTCATGTTTTGCACTCAGATGTCGATTGGTGCAAATTGCCTGTTTTTATTAAGTAATTAATAACATTTGTAAAAGACGAGATGATTCGAACATATGCGCGGAAACTCATTAAATCAGTATGATGTCTTATTAATAATCATTATTCACGATTCAAGGTAAACTTTGTCTGATTGATATGTAAAAGTTAGACTAACAAATCAAGAGATCTATCATGAACGATGAAATAAACAAATCGGAAAGTTTGCCTGTCACGAATTGATATAGGAAAACAATGTGAGATTCTTATCTATGTCAAACATATCCAAACTTTCGATCGTAGAATGTTATTTACTTATCTGCTTTATCCATTAGCAAATCATCTGCTACTCGAATAACCACCTGGAAAACAGCTTTGACAATGGCTAAAGCTTGTATGACATTCTATTTCTTGACAATTAGGAAGATATTCTTTGTACAAAGCTTTAGTATCTGACAGCGCAGATTTTGATTGTCCATTGATAAGAATTATTTCTTGGTTTGCTTTTCTCCCTCGATGAAACATTCACTATAAGGTTTTATTACACAAAAGCAACCGGTTGGATCGTAAGCGGCGACAAACGGTAAAATTCTATCTGTCACATAACATTTGTTGCCATAGTTTGTCGGAAAATAAAGAATTTATACATTGGTCTGAATTTATTCACACCTTGTTATACTAACAGAATTAGAAAAGCATGTTTTTTTTTGTAGAAACATCCAATTAGCATATTGACGTATTTGGTTTAGCTTTGTCCTCTGCCT